TCAATCAATCAATYAATKAATSAATCAATCAGTGAATGAAATGAATGACTGAATCAATCAATTAATATTTTTCCAGCTTTCACACCAACTTAAAAGTGATCTTGGCACCAAGGGAATCRAGGTACTGGCTGAAGTTCGACTAGAGGAAAGTGATCCTAGCAGAGCGATCAGAACTATACAGGTATACTCCATCTTACCACACCCAACCACACAATCCCTCCACCTATCGCACCCTCACTTTCCTTTTCACTCCTATTGTGTACACAGATTGCACAATGACTATTCTAACATGATCACAGTCATTGATATATTAATCAATCAAACTTTATTTAGTACCTTACATGGAACATGTAAGCTGTTGTAGCTTTAGGCTAGTGATGAGACATTCCTACATTAATCATTAAAGCCATCATCTTTGACATCTTCTGTATTTCTATCTTTAGGAGAAGGACATTCACATTATATTTGGGCTGTTTTCAGTAGGTAAAGCCGCCAGAAAGATGTTTTGTCAGGTAGGTTTTGTGCCAGGAATGTCTGGTAATGGTAACGTTAAGTAGAATCATCATCTATTTGGTGATATTAAAGATACATTGATTGTTAACAGGCGTACAAAAGTGGTTTATATGGCCCWCATTACGTGTGGATTCTACAAATGGCGGGCAATAACGGTTGGTGGATTCCTGGAACAGGGGAAGACATTGGCGGATGTAAAGACATTGAAATGACATGTCAAATTCAAAACTACTTCAACGTRAAACCAGAGCACGATTTTGATACGGAAACAGACTACAGTCTCTCTAATAAGGTAAACTTATAAACTAGATACTGTAAAATGTCATTTTAAGAACCTCAACTATAGATTCTCTCTAGCTGCCCTACACTAGGCCTAACGGCAGATTCTGTCTAAAATTCTACCTTGTTGTGATACTYTGACAGAACACAAGTCATCTAGTWAGCGAATACAATTCACGTGTTGACAATGGTAACAACACATCCAATCGATCGACCAAAGCATGGCTYRTYTATGATGCYGTATGGTCCATTGCGCACGTGCTAAAGAACTCTCAAWCAAAACTTAGTAAACCACTGGAGAACATCACCTATGGGGATRCTCAAGCTAGTATTGTATTCTATAACGAAACACTCAAATTGRACTTTAAGTCTCCAAATATGGTAAGTACCTAATATGGTAGATTTATATCTATGACGTCATCAAGGTCACGTGGMYTTATGTCACGTGYCTTTGCTAAGWTTCTAATTTGTGAATGTTTRTCGCTATGTAGAAAGAAGTRAGATAYTACAGTAACGGCAACAGGAAGTTTGACATGATTATTGACCAAATCRTCGTTAAAGGTAACGATATATTTAAACTTGAATTGACTTAATGATGATTCGAGAACGTTGACGTTGTTATTKGTGCTGATCAATGGATGTTCTGTTGATGTTGTTGTTGCCGTTTAGCACAATCATGACTGTCTTTATAATTAAGTTCTTATGAACATTCAGCATTTATCCCGTATGTTTTWCAGAGGAAAACAGTAATCCCGTCACTCAGACTGCTGCAAGTTATAAGGTTTCCAGTGGAAAGTTTGAAGTGAAGAGCATAAATTGGCGAGGTGAGATTTTACATCAGTCAAAACTAATGATAATTATGATGATGATTATGATGTTGATTGTAGCGAACAACTGATGATTAGTGATGTATCAGTGAATGAGATGATTGACAGAATGATGAAATCTCTCCAACAACAATAACACACACTAACGTCAACAATAACAGTAACAACAACTACTACAACAATAACAACGACAGCAATAACGACAACAATAGCAATGACATTAGTTACAAAAACAGCAGTAACGACAACAACAGCAACAGTAACAAGATAATCTACAACAAAAACAGCGACTTTTCAGAGTTGACACTTATTTTGCTTTATTTATTAATTACTAGTTTTTTGTATTTTCATAGCTGGAACACCATACCGTAAGACAAAAAACAACTACTTTACTCGATCCATTCATCGTGCTTTGTTTGGTGCTCTGATATTCCTTGCTTGTCTTGGTTTGCTCTATGCCTTGATCTGTTTGATTGTGGTATTAGTGTACCGGAAACAACCGTAAGTCATGCTTTATTAACCACATCCATCAATCAAATCAGTCAGTCAGTCAGTCAGTCAGTCAATTCATCAATCATCCAGCCAATCAATCGTTCAGACGTATTTGACATTCATCAATATCCTTGTTAACCAGGGTGATATGGAACTCCAGTCCAATCATGAACACTATYATTATCGTGGGCTGCATCTTCAATTACATCACAGTGATYWTGTACGCATTTGATTGGACGACGACTACACGCGTCACAAGTCTATGCAGGGTATGTATGCAAAACATATAAAAAAGACTGCATTCTTGTTTCAAACAGAATGCTCTTGAATGATGTAAACTTAATCGTGTCATCATAATCATATGGTATGATT